AAGCCTGTCAGAGATTAGCTGGCTGTTAGCAACTAGAAGTATCGTAGGAGATAGCTTTGTGTTTCACTGTCAATCAGGGTGGAAAACTACGGGAATAAAAGCCCAGTCTCTGTATTCATACCAGCGTAGATTCCTGCACGAGGCAGCAATGGTTAAAGTAAACTATTTAACTATAACACCTAAACCAGGAAGCTGTCAATAGCTGGAATACCCCCCGAATGAAAACTGTTCAACATTCAGTTTCGGTTCAGCCCAACTGCAGTCGATCCTTGCCCTTGTTCTACATTGAGGGGTCAACTGACCTCACGAAGAAGAAAACACATAAAACTCTTGTGTCCTCTTTGTGTAAGTTTCAGTTGGGGCTGAACCCGAGCCCCTCCGGCAGTCCTGCCGTTGTTCTGCTGTAGTCTTTCCTGACTTCTGACGGATATTTGAAGAGGGTCCGTGGCTCCTGGTCAGGTTTCCCACAGGTCCGAGGCTCAGCACATCTCCCCGACCCCCCGGGAAGCAGAGGTCGCGCATGAGAGAAGGGGGAATGAAAAGGGCCACTCCTCCTGATTTATGACCTGGCGCAGCCATAGGATACCTGTGGAGGTACACCAAATCAGATTCCCCCAGCACCTCCTGCCAACGTTGGTTTAAGATTTCAGACATTTAGAGGGGGGAGCTCGGCATTTCAGAGTCAAAAGGAGCAGTAGCTGAAACTGCTTTGTGGTGTGTCCGGACAATAAGCAGGTACAACACAGTTATCTTTTTCTGTTGACTGATTCTCTACCCAGATGTTAGCCAGCTGTTGGATTTTGGAACACCGTTACATAACTGATACGTCTGCTGCTGTTTTGGATCATTCCAGTCATTCTTTGGACTCACTCGTGAGGATTTTATTTTGGTGTCTCGGTCGTGAGTCTGCGACTGTATCAAATCAAACTGTGGGCTCACGTTCTGGTGCCCTCTTCCACTCTTGATTTATAACTCAAGTTCCAAAACTACATACTAGGGCTGTCATTTCAAATTTCGAAAAAATGCAAAATCGACATGGTTATTTGATCGGTTTCTTTTGAACACAACTCATGTAGCTTTATGCGGAACTTAGTCGTAGCATGGTTGGTTTTCTTCACTCTTGTGCCGACAGACATGAATCAAACAAGGACTTTTTGAATGAAGCTTTAACTTAAAGGCAAATTATAAAGGACTTACTGTTTGTAAACACAACATTCAAAGTTGTGCCCTCACTCGCAGCATCACATACGGCAGCGAAAGTGAAAGCCAACCCTAGATTCTTCAATTTTTTGGAACGAGCTTTGACCTCTTGACGTTCCGCCTTGTTTTTTTTTGCGTTTTTTCGGCACAGTGTCTGGCATTGTGGTAGCTTTCTTGTGTGTGCATACTTGCGCATGCTTTGGGGCTTTACACCCGACACCCGGAAAACGTCCCAAACACAGTAAAATAATCAGAAAATAAGTAAATGCACATAGAGGGCACAGTCTGTGCAGATACAGACACCGCCACACACTTCCAGTGGGTCATAAGTGATGATTAAGAGGGATTATTTCTGGACAGTATACCTTTAACAAAGGGAAAACAAATGTTCTATACTTATTTGCCCTCTGCACCATTCTTACATTTTTCCAGCTCTGAGTTAGTCAAGTTTCTCTTTTGTATTGCAACGAGCCCGTCAACGGCACATCCAAAAATCCAGCTAATTTATAAGGCAAACTGACATCTTTGAGGATAATTCAGTCTCCCGGTGTTTGGGGACTACATGCTAAAAACTGGGACACAGCTCTCTCGTCCTCACCACTAACTTAATTTCCAGACCACCACTGCTTCTACAACGTCGCCATGCTTGTAGCATTTTGATGTCTCTAGCACATCACTGATGGAAATGTGCCTTGGCAACAGCTGCTAATTGGCTTATCGTGTTTTATTCTTGTACAGGCAGATCATACAGACCTTTGTGCTAGTTGTGTGTGACCAGCCTCTCTCTCCCTGAGTCATGAACCCAGCTTCTCTCAAGCGTAGACATCCACAGTCTGCTGAAGCTGCTGGCACAGAAGAACTAGGCCAGATTTGACACACTTCACAACCCAGGCTAACCCTGACACACATTACTGCTTCTCAGAGCTCAGAGGAAGAAAAATGCTACAAATGCATCACAGTTTGAGGCCACTCGGACACAAAGTGATAATATTTGACCAGAGTTGTTGTCAAACAGCTGGAATAGAGGTTCTTAGCCCAGAAGAAGCACATTGTATGTCTGCCTCTGCGACGTGACACTGAAAAAGTCTTGTTGTGACAGTTGCTAGAAGCGTTGAAGACCACAGTGAGGTTAACACTCCAGGCATGAAGGGAATCGCATTTTCATTTGTTGCCCTATAAGTCTGTTATACTTTTGAGGCAGTAAGGAAACAAAATGGCAGTTTAACTTCTTAACATTTGGGGATTATTATACATTTGCAAAGTTTCAAGAGATGCTTGATTCGGGTAAAACTCCAAACCAGTTTATGATGTCATAATTGGGTCAGATCTTTACTGGACAGGATTTGCTAGTGGGCAAAAGTGTAAACCAGGAGGTGTTTGGACCCCCTGTGGTGATTGTTTTATGTGAGTGGAAAACCACATCAGCAGCATGAAAGCCTGGAGTGGTGGTGGATCGCTGCCAGTTCTTCATCCACTTTGCAAACCTGGCATTATCTGCGAGCACGGCAAAACTCTCGAACAGGTACACCATCTTGAATTTGCCACAAAAAAACACTTAACCAAACTAAACCACGTCAACCCTGTAAGAATAGAATCTGAATTGTCCTCTACTCTACCAGTTGTTGTCGATTTATTTCCAGGAAGACTGAGAAAGAAAGGCCAAACCCAAAACATGACCATATGTTTAAACCTTGTCCTATGAACCCAAAACAGGATGTCACAGCAGGACCTCCGGTCAGAGTAACTGACATAGACACAGGCACATAGGAGGGCTATTGTTTTCTTCTGCTTTGGGAAAGACAGAAAGAGGGAAAGGGAATTGTGGTTAAGGGATGGAGAAATTGGATGTGCGCGTTTATGTGTGTAGTTACACTGAAGTGTTGCTGTGAGAGACTTAAGGACTTTAGAGTTATCTGAAGAAACAAACCAGCTCGCAAAACTTTGTTCAGTGTCTGCAAAACAGAGCCCTGGGAATGTGTCAGACGATTGTATCCTTAAATGTCCTCAAACCATGTTGGGCCTCTTTAAAGGGAAAGTACTTCCTAAAATAGAAATCATATTTTGTTTTCTTTGTGAATTTGAGGTCTCTATTAAAGCTCAAACGTCATCTTCTGACAAACCTCGTAACTGCTCCATGGACAGTGAATAATAGATCAACTTCCAGCCGGACAGCACACAAGGTGATTTTATTGTGATGTGGAGACCTTTTGTATTTCACATTATGCAATACCTTCATGTAATAATAAAGCTCATTATGATAGCTTAAAGTAACAGTTTTGACATAATGGGAAGTTTGCTTGTTTGCTTTCTTTATCACAGCTGAGAGGATTGATGCCAACGGTAAATACCAAGCTGGACTAAAGGCACCTGTAAGGTCATCTCTACAAAAATGACAATAAGAGTTATGTGCCGGACAATTTCTTGGCTGGGACCAGCAGCCTATAATTTCCAGAACTTTTCATTGGTTGTCTCCATGGCAGTAAAAGTAAAATCGCCATTTTTACACTTGGAGACACTTTGGCAAACCAGATATAACGTGTTACTTAGTGCCCTTTAGGTGCTGTGGGTTTTGAAACCTTCATCCAGTGTTTTGTTTTCAGCTAACCGGCTGATGGCTGTAGCTAGTTATCTGTCATACACTAGAATGGTATCAATCTTGTCTCTCAGCTATAAAGCATTTTAAGAATAAAGCTAGAGTCAGCGATTAGCCTAGCTTAGCAGCAGTACTGGAAATAGCTAGCCTGGCTCTCCAAAGTATAGAAATCTGCCTTTCAGCAAATCTAAAACTCACTTATTTACGAAATATAGCTTGTTTGATTCATCTGTACACAAACAGAAATCGAAATATGACAAGTTGTGTTTTTTTATGGGGAATTGTGTGCTGTAACTATTTCTTGGTGAACAGAGGCAGCACTGGTAGGTTCGCTGTTTTCCCTGATTCCAGTCTTCATGCTAAGCTAAACTAAGCTAATTGCCTATGGCTCTAGCTCAATACTTGATGGACAGATGTGAGAATGGCATCGATCTTCTAATTGAACCGTTGGCACGAGAGTGATCACGCATAGTTCCCAAAATGACAATAAATGGACCAACTCTAAAAAATGTCATCTGATATTTTCACTTCAGCATTAAAGCTTGTGACAGGGGAGACCTGTGCACATAAAAAAAACAAAAAAAAACCTCTAGATTTCTTTCCCCTTGAGACTTGAATACATTGTGAACTGGTGCGTGCAGAAACAAAAGCTGAGTCAGCGGGTCTAAGAAGGAGAGAAGAGACAAAGGCAGAGTGTCAGGAAGAGTCTACAGGCAGGGTGGAGGTCGGCTCTCGGACGGCGTAGACATAGCATCAGGCCACACAGAGGCCTTCTTGTCTATAAACACAACCTGTTGCAACTCACTCAAGAGCATACCATGCAGGGAATGCTAAAAGGATTAGCGCGTAGCCACTTGAGATAATGTGAAGAATGAGACGTGATGTGGTGGAGGGAGGCCACAGAGAGTCAAGGATGAGACAGCGTCACAACACTGACTCAGTCAACCATTACCCTCTAAGAAGATTAAAGAACAACAGCCACAGCTTTTTCTTTATGTTTTTTTATATTGACTGCTGTAATATCATGTAATATACGTAAATTAATTATTTCTTAAATATTCACAGGATTTCTTAAGTATCATTTATACAGGGACACTTATTTTTACTAATTGGTACACAGTAATTGGTTTATTAATACAGAGTTTTCCTTTTTTTTAAATCACCCAAAAACACAAGAAAGACCACAAAGAAATCACCTTCACACACATTTCATTCTTTGTGTTTATTTGCTGTGTACATCATACACAAACATCTTTGGAATAAAAACTAAATCTCTCATATATATATATATATATATATCAAATAAAAAAAGAGATTCAGAATTTCACGGAGCCACTTTGTAAACATGCAACCAATGGTTTTCAACAGGGAGATATTAAAAACAAAAACATTTGAAGGGATATCAGGAGTGTGCCATGCTGATGACGAATACAGAAAAGATATCATATCAAAGCTGCAAGTACTGTAATTGTGTTAATTTATCACATGTAGAAATAAATCGTGCCCTTGAGTTCAGTAGTTCTCACCCCAGAACGCCTCTCAGTCTAACCTCCGCATACCTCGGCAGACCCCCAGTTCATATTTCAGTGGCATCCTTTCATGGAGATAAAGTGAGAATCACTGAAGGATGGATGAAGTGAGGTAGGATCCGTGGTTATCCTTGCTTGTTTTGATGGGAAACGGCTGACTGAGTCAGCTGGGAAAGTTCAACGTCTGCAAACTGACAGATGGTCAAAGTGACATCCTAAAAACATTTCGCTGTAAAGGGTTTGACAACTTGAGCTCTCTTATTTTTGGAGGTGAATATATCATTTTTGTAACTTCTTTTGTGACTTTTAAGTCCTCGCTGTGCTCGTATTTGCTTGTAAATGTGTGTTTTTTCTCTGACAGGAATCTTTCTCTGTTGCTGAGCTTGCAACCATATAGCTTACACAGCTATGAGCACTGAACAGGCATGAAGCATTAGCTGTGGTAATCAATGACTGTGTCACTAGTGATTATTGGACAGTGTATATACTGTGTGAACCCTCCTTGGGGTTTAGAAAATGAGATCAAAATGACTGGCCACACATGGCCCCTTGTCTTCCACGAAGCAGAAGCTCCTTTGAATCCAGCTCAGTGTTTAATTAACGTTATATGAGATGAAGCTCCCGTAAAGAGTTCAAGCCATATGTCTATCTTTCATTTCCTCTCTCTCTGTCCAGTTCAGTGCATTAACAACCCCACAGGGGTGCCTCGCATGTTTGTTCCAACGCCTGCGTTTAAGGAGTAAAAAAAGAAAAAAAAGGCAACACACAAACTAAACTGGGACAGATCCTGATGAGGTACTCATGGTTCACTTCACACTCACACAACAGTTTTCCAGTTTAGAAAAAATAACATAGCTTAGTGGTTTTCCATTTTAATTTAGTCATTAAGGGAAAGTGTTGGTGTCAAGCGCACTAACTGTGCCCACTGTGTCATGACGAACATACACTTATGTGCCTTGTAGAGGGTCACAGGGACTGATTTCAGAAATGGAGAGGACAACAACGTCTACTCAACACACAGTCACACACACACATACACACGCACACATAATAAAACATTATCCTGGGGGAAATGGTTCCATTCATCAGTAAGGTCTGTCTATACACCCACACAATAGATCTATAAATACAATATATCAATTTGAACAGGAGATAACTAGAAGCAGTTGTTGTCCTCTCATTTGAAGAAACAGTCTCTTTGGAGTTGGGGAGAGCAAGCAACAAAAGGTCATCATGTGCCATGGAGTGCTAACCCTACGTGCAGTGATAGGCGTCTGAAACGAACCCTAAGTTGTCAGAGAAATTTGTTTCAAATTTAAAGAAAAATCATATTTTGCTGCTTTGACTTGCATTGCTGCTCCAAAAATAGAAACAAAATTCTTCCTTCTGCACTCCACGGCACATGGTTTCTTTGTCCTTAGATTAAACAGTAGACTCTTTGGGTCCCTCTCGAGCAGCGTTCTTACACCCGTAAAGCCACTTGATGACGCGAGCGTTCCTCTCAATGATCGAGACGCCAGTGGGAGGCTGATCGGCCAGCTCCTCCTGAAACAGCCCGTCTCCTGAGTGCTGGGAGAACTCGCTGGGCTCCGAGCAGCCGTCCCCGGCGACACTGCGGAGGGCCAATGAGAGTGTGTCTATGGAGCTGGCACCCGAGAGGAAATTTGTTCGACCCAGACGCTCTATCATGTCCACGTCCAGACCGCAGAAGTCAAAGAAATGCTCCTGCTCCGACAACGCTACTGAGCAGCGCAGATGCAGGTCTGACTTTGAGCGCCGCAACTCCCCAAACTGTCTTCTGGGTGCTGGTGGGGGTGACGCCCGCTTCCACGGGTCATTCTCATCATCGTGGTTATTTGAGTGGCTGCCATTGGTGATACCATCACCGGTACCATTTGTAAATCCGTTCTTAGTCCGTTCAAGCGTAGAGCTAAACCCAGGGCTGGGGTTAGACCCTGGGCTGCGTTCTGGATCAGTTTTACTGGACCTTCTGCTTCCTGGTCCTCCATTCGTAGTGTCTTTCTCATTGGTCCAAGACATGCGGGAGTCTCCATCCCGTGAAGGCGCTTTCTCTTCACCGATCACCATCTTCTGGATTCTGCCTTCACTTCCGCTTCCCTTCTCCCTCAAGGAGCCCTGGAAGAGGCGGCGGACAAAACTGTAGCCCCTCACTTCCGTGTTATTGTTGTCCCCCACCGCTGCACCGTTGGGACTCTTGCACTCTTTCTTCTGTCTGTAGATGACGAGGGAGTCCGGCCTCAACATGCGTTTGCCTGTGCTTCTCCTGAGTACAGGGGCGCTGTGCGGCGCTACCAAGGAGTTGATGCCAGGAGTCCTGGGGTTGGGAGGCAGTACATTGTTCGCATTGCTCCTGTTATGCGCCTCAACGTCCACAGAGGTCCGTCTGTTCTCCTTCCTGGAGTCATCATTTTCATTCTCATCTCTTGAGGTGAACGAGCCAGAGAGTGTAGAGAAGGGGGTGTTGGATGAAAGCCGCGGGGTAAAACGAGGCGTCAGGCTCCCGGGGATGGATATAGCTCGCCGTGGCTGCGGTGGAGGGGTAGCACATGGCACCAGCACAGGCTCCTGTTTGGTGTTGATCACTTGCTGGCTCTTAACATATTTGGCTTTGTCCGCCTCAAGCCTCTCCACAGCGCTGATGGAGCGGCCGTGGCCTCCACCGTCTATCTGCCTGCGCAGGTAGTCTGGACCCTTGTTGAGGAGCCTCAGAGGAGAGGGGGATCCAGCTGGCGTTAGGGGCTTCATGTTGATTTACTGAGCTGGGAAAGACATCAAAACTGCAGCCCTCAAATGACCGACAGCCTCTGGTGTCCCCCAGAGAGCAGTTGTTGGCAGTTTGCAAAAGTTTCTGAGGGACGAAACCTGCTCTCTTTCCTGTTCAAACAGCTCTTGAATCTTCTTTGAGGAGTATTAGATACGTAGCAATTCAGGAGACCACAGAGTTCAAGTTTGTTGTAACCTTTTCTATAGATAGCTTGCAGTCTCTTTTCTGGGCAATTTCAGAGCCCAGACAAATTGATATCTCTATCCAGTATTTACACAGGCATTTGGATAGTCAGGCAGGGCACAGGGAAGTCCTTTTTTTGTCAGCCAAGAGCCCTCCCAAATGAGACGCTCCCTGCCCACACCGCAGCAGAAATAGCAGGCAGGGTGCACTTTGAAAGAGTTACTTTTTCCTCCCCCACTTTTTCTTCTTCTCTCCTTCTCTCTCCCAACAACACCCTTCACTGTTGATCTTTTCAGTGACGGCTGCCTGGAGAAATTAGATATAATGGCCTTAAATATTTGCTTTGTGCAGGTTGTCTGAGGGACGCCGGGTCAAGACTTTTATTGTTTGCCGCCCGTCGTGGTTGAGGTGACCTGAGGGTGGCCGGCACCGAGGCACTTGGTTCGCTGATGGACAGATGGGGCAGATGCAGATCTCGTCCTTATCCTCACCTCACCTGCGGGGACCCCTGGGAGACACAGATAGAGAAAGAGTGGGTTTTAGTTGGAAGTGTTATTCTCCAGGGCAAAGCCACAAAAACCAGATGGCAGGAAGGACGGTGGTCCCTATAGCTCAGCTCAGATTCTGCTCATTTAAAGCTGGAGGGAGTTACTTGTCTAGAGCAGATGCAATACAGAGCTGACATGTGTAAGCATTTGATGACCTTACATATTAAATACTTTAAGCACACTACTATTAGAATTTAACACTAGTCAATGAGTACATATTTAAGGGTTCAACTACAGGCTACATTGACATGTTGCAGCTGAACCAGAAACATTTTAGAAGTGAGACAAAATGTGTTTTTCCTTTGTCACCGAATGTAATATCAGCAATTCCTTAAATGTGAACATAGATATCCCATATATGAATTAACAAGCACATGTGGGTAATGTTTCCTCTGCATGTATTTCTTTAACTTTTGTCTGGTTTGTGTCTGTCCTCCTGCAGTTTTGTCTGTTGTCCAGACGTTCTTGCAACATCCTGTAAGTGTGGGATGAAAGATGAATGAATGCAACAATGTCTGATGTCCATCCACATGATGTGCCTGTTTTCTGCTCAGGAAGTACTGCATTGTTATTTTCTTTCATGGGCAGATTAGGCCAAGACAAATGGCAGCAAGTACAACATCCTGTAATTCGGATCACTGAGAAAAACTGGCAGGCAGAGAGACAGTCGGATTTTATTTTGACATCAAAATCAATGTTATATATTTATATTTTTTCCCCCCATATCAAAGCACTGCTACAAGCATCAGTTTTGCTGTCTGTCACTGCCACTACATGAACACACCAGGACATGTGACTTAAGCAAAATAACAATGACAGCTTTAAAATTTTAAACAAACATCTTACCTGAAATCAAGACTGAGGTTGTTCTCATTTAAACTGTTTTAATTAAACCATTACACTTCTGAAGCAATAACTCTTGTCACAGTTAAACAGCTTGTTCTTCAAATTAACAAGACACTCAAAAAAGGCATGACTCGGTGAAACGGGCTGCCTCATTTTGCGTTGATGATGTGTTCTGTGAAGAGAGACGTTTCATATCTTTTAAGTTTTCGTACTATGTGAGTATTCAGGAGGGGGGGAAGGAGGCTGCACGTCTCTATAATGGGAGAGGCTGCACCCGAGGAGTATTTATAGCATGAAAACAACCAAGCAAACTTATCGTGTGTCTATATATGTGTGCATGTATGTGGTCATGGGTATATTTGTGAATCTGCTCTAGTTTTGCACCTGAGCCTACAAGCTGTGTGTGTGTGTGTGTGTGTGTGTGTGTGTGTGTGTGTGTGTGTGTCAGCACGAGGCAATAAGAGGCTTCCCTGAAAATGAAAGAGGGCCATACGCATTCTTTCATCCTGTACCTTTTTCATGTCGACAAAAAAAGAAGCTTGCCGCTTGCGAAACAGGAAGATAAAGAACTTGCCTCTTAAACTTCAAGCTGTTATGTATAGATACACCCAGAGGCACAAGTGGAGCCTGTTTTTCATTCACTTCCCTTCAAAATGTATAAAGAGTCCATCTGCAGCGATACGTGCTCTGTGTTTCTGTGCTAGACGACAGGAGGCTGTTGTGCTTATTGTTCGGTCAGGTCTGCCTCAAGTGTTATCAAATGCTATTTTATCTTTTCCTTCACATGGGGGAAAACAATGAACAACCTTCTTTGGCAGGAAAAAGGATATATGTCTCATCATTTAAGGCAAACCATATGACTCAGCTGATAGTGGCAAACACTTAATCCTCGGTTTTCCGTCTTGTATTTATAAAGCATTTGTGATTTGTAAGATAGTAAAAATAATAGTGTGACATGCAACTAAGGTCATGAGCTACGAAGCTGAGGATAAAGTTAGAAACCAAAGTCACCAAAATCAAACCTGCAAAATCAGCAAATTACCAGCAGTTTGTTGATGGACATTCATTTATGAAATATATTGATCAAAATAATATTCCACATTCGAAGAGTGCTCTTTTATTTGGCTTATAAAATAGCTAAAATTAAAAAAAAACATTTATTTCACTAGGCGATTCCTAAAATGTACATTTTTCTCCAGGGTTCAGCTTGACTTTCAGTACTCAATAGTCTATTCCTACTAAATGCTTAACTACTATTGATACATTAGACGGTGACATATCACACTCACGTAACTCTACCTGGTTCAGTCTGCTCACACAGGAGCTCGAGCCTGTCAAATGGCACGCCACTATAAATTCACTGAGGAAGAGGGGGGGGAAGGGGGCAACGGCCAACTAGTTTTTTTTTTCCAGATGTCGGTCTGTCAGAGCTCGGGAAAGTCAACCATTGTTTGGGTAGAGTTCCGGGAAAAATGTCAACAGGTGTGGAAGGAAAAGAAAGGGCATGACACAAGTAAAAAGGGTAGAAAAAGAGGAGGAAGTGGGAAGAGAGGTTACGGTTTGTTGCTGGGGTTTGGGTATTTATTAGACACCTTTCTTCCGGAACAATCTGTTCCCCATCTGTGTTTAAAATGGATAAGGGTGCAGGTTAATGCTATTGATGCATTAAAGGGGGGATTATCACCATAGGAGCCTAGACAAAGTCATTAATCCCGATGGTGGCTTTCCATTGCAGGGGGATGGGGGTAAAGCATGCAAAATGATATGAATACAGCAACTAATCCAAACGCTCATAACCTTGAAATCCACAACAAAGAGAACAATATTTTCCAGCTTCCAATGTTTTTTTCCTCGGCTCTACTCTTAACGATTGTGTGCATTCATAGAATCTGACACTACGAGCTTGACGGAAACCAGTCGCTTTCAGAGGTTATCTCTTGCTCCGAGTGCTATCGCGGACATCATATGACTAAATCTGAGTCAGCTGTTTGGGACACAATGTCTCAACCAGAAATTAGACGACGACTCAGCAGTCTTTTCAACAAAAAAATCAATAAAATGTTCAAACAAAAATGGAACATCAGGGAGAAGAAATGCAGTACATGTAGTACATTTGACCACACACACACACACACACGGAGTGAACCAGTGACTCAACTGGGATTAGCTGGAGAACAATAGCCACCATTAGTGCCATTGACCATAATGAGCCAGATTAGCACCTTCTGCTGTGATCTCAAGGTTTGTGAAAATCTTTCTCTTGGTGCGTGACCTCCTTTGCCTCTCACTGTAGGTTGTCATTAACCTCCACCCCCCCCTCCCCAACCGACCTTCTACTTCATAATGCAATCTAGCCTTGTGTCTTTCATTCCCGCTGAACTCTCCTGCTCTCCTTCCCACTCTTCGTCTCTCTACATCTCCTGTATATGCCAAAGGGCCTCCTTGCCCTCTTATTTTCCTCCCTACTCCATCACCCTCTTCCTGCCTCTCTCCTGCTCTATTTACTGTGTGCTCCCTGCATCTACTGTAAGTGCAAGCTTCAAAAGCTTTTGCCAAAACAAGATGTTTTATTTATGAGAATTGATGTTAGTTAAGTAAAATTTTCATGTGGAACAGTAATCCGAGGGGTTGCAAGATATATCTGATTTCTAAACAAAATAGGTCAGAAGAAGGAAAAACATTTATTTTCTGAAGTTATTTCTTGAGAAATGCTGGAGAGTTTTACCTCTTCTGGACTCTGAAATAAGTGAAATTCCCATTTTTTAAAGCAACCCGTGACGGGGGCCAGGAGAAGACATTGCTTGCCTCTGAAGGGTCATAGACCAAAGAGTTTGGGAACCAGTCGTTCAGAGTCCAAAGGAAACATCATCTGTCATACACAAAAAAATCGCTAGCTACAAAACAAAACTGATGTGGTCACTATGTCGTCATCAGTTGACTTCTCTTTTCCTTCTAAAGCTGTTAATTTAGCAAACTGTACACATTTAACCGCTACAAAGAGAAGTTGGGCAAATTTCTGCATGAATTGGCAAGCTTCTCCAAGTGTCAGTCTCAGAAAGTTACAGCCCCCACCCCACCCCAAAATACATGGGAGCAGAAGGTTTCAGATGCTGTTCAACTATTCAGTAAGCACTCTGGTCCATTGCAACTAAATATGTATTACACAGCTCTATGTGAGCCTTATCACAGGCCGCTCTAGGTCAGTTTATGGCTACACAATACACAGGTTTTACAACATGACCAAGAGGATAGTTAATGTTAGTCTAAGTCAGGGGTCGGCAACCTGCGGCTCGCGAGCCGCATGCGGCTCGCGAGCCTCTCTGTTGCGGCTCCCTGAGGTCCCCAACTGGCGCACCGGATCCGGACCCAAAAACTAAAAACCGATGGATAATTCGGAGTTATACATATTGGGCACCGAGTTTAAACTTTAACCGGCGCTTCTTATTCAGCCGTTACAGCACTTGTTCGGCGGTGCAGGAAACACACCGACCAATGCATTGCATCACGTGATGCAGCTCAGCCAATCAAATATGGGAATTCTGACAAGTTTCCTGACTCGAGCGAGGTTTACACACACACACACGCATGGGGCTGAGACGAGGAAATAGAAAGAAGAGCAGGGAAATTGCGCTAATCGAAGAAGTTATCTCACATGACGTTCTCCAAAAATAGAAACGTGTTCAGAGAGAATATAATTTATATGCAAGAATGAACAGAATCTTACATGTTAATTATTCACACAGGCAGTTAAATCCTCTACCCCTGTCAAGCGCTTTTCCTTGCAGGTGGCTAATCATGTTTTTCAGACCCCCGCCCTCTGTAAACTATCAATGGATATATCCAAAAAAAGAAAAGTCACGGAGGAAAATAGAGAGTTTATCTCTGCGTGGATGTCTTCATTTGCTTTCACTGCCAACGATGCTGGCTTACCTCTATGCTTCCAGAACAAGCACACAGCATTTGCTGAAAAGTATCACGCTGGAGATGAGTGAAAAAGAGCGATTTCTCAGCTGCTGCAGCAAACTCTCCTCTTCATAAGAGTTTGATATTGTTATAACAGGTCAAATTGCAAATAAATGTCAATAATTGTCTTTATTCTTGTTCTATATTTTCA